GGTGTAATAAACCGCGACAGATCATTCAAACTCATTTGAAATTATTATTAGAATTACCGGAAATATATCGCGAAACTCCCGCTAGTCTACGCTCCTTAGTAGAAAAGGCCCAAGTTCACATAAATGCACTAAAGGCACTTAAACAGCCTATCGAACATTGGGATACCTTGTTGGCTTATATAATTATTTCAAAATTAGATAAGGGGACACGTAGGGCCTGGGAAAGAACATTAGAGAATGAAGAAATGCCTACTTTCAAACAACTTTTAACATTTCTAAGTAAACAAGCAAGAGGCGATGAAATCGATTCCAATTCATATGAATCAGTTAATAAATTTAGTAATACACAATTTAATAATTCAAAGGGTCACTATAAAAAACACATAAAAAATAATCAATCATACTTAGGGACTCAATTAAGTCGTCAATGTGTCATTTGTTCTAAAGATCACGCAATATATTCATGTGAAAGGTTTTTAAGTTTAAATGAACATAAACGTGCTGAAGCAGCTCGTAATGCAAACCTTTGCTTAAACTGCTTAAAATCAAATCATCAAACAATAAAATGCCTACAAGGTGGTTGCAAAAAATGCAATCGTAAACATAACACCCTGTTACACTTTAATAATACAATTAATACACGTAAAACAAACATTAAAAATAATCATGAGGAGAATCAAGACCAAACATTATCTGATCAAATTAGTGGTAACAATATAAATTTAACAGTTGTGTCAAGTTCAGAAATATTGTTAGGTACTGCTTCTGTATTAATGCTTGACAAGGAAAGAAATGAAGTTCCATGTAGAATACTGCTTGATAGTGGTTCTCAAAATCATTTTATAACAGAGAAATTTGCTGAACGATTACAATTAACAAAAACTAAAATTGAATTACCATTTTTAGGTTTAGGTCAGTCTTTAACTAAGTCGAAATATTATGTTAAGACTATTTTAAAATCACGCACAACTTCCTATTCTTCTGAAGTTCAACTTGTAGCTTTACCTACTATAACCGGTCTCCTACCAGCCAAAACAATTAACAAAAACAACTTATCTATTCCAAAAAATATCATTCTAGCTGACTCTGAATTTCATAAGTCGTCAGAAATAGATGCCCTCATAGGAAATACATTATTTTATCAATTATTAAGTATAGGCCAAATTAAATTATGCAATAATTCAATTACATTACAAAAAACATTACTTGGTTGGATTGTAACAGGACAATTAAATATTCAAAATAATCAATTAGTTAAAACAAATTCGTGTTTTTTAACAACCTCGTTTTTAGATAATCAGTTAACTAAATTTTGGGAGTTAGAGGAATTACCACATAAGAAACATTTTTCAAAGGAAGAAGAAGCATGCGAAAAACATTATATTCTAAATCTAAATAAAAGTCCTGAAGGTAGATACATAGTTAGGTTACCATTTAACGAAAGAAAAGTAGAACTTGGAAATTCATATCAGACAGCATTAAAACGATTATATACTTTGGATAAAAAATTAGAATCAAATCCAGATTTACGAAAACAATACAATGCATTTTTAGATGAATATTTACAATTAAAACACATGACAGATATAACAGATACCGACGATAAAAATACAGGTTTTTATTTGCCATATCACGCCGTATTTAAGGAATCTAGCGCAACGACCAAAATACGTGTAGTTTTTGATGGATCTGCCAAAACAGACACTGGTGTTTCTCTCAACGAAGTATTAATGCAGGGCCCTACAATACAGGACGATTTATTTTCCATATTAACTCGTTTTCGAACACATAACATTGTGGCAATAGCGGACGTAGAAAAAATGTTTCGCCAGGTTTTAGTAGATTTAAATGATGCGGTTTACCAAAAAATCCTAGTTATGGACAAACACACAAAATCAATCAAAGTTTTTATGTTAAATACAGTCACGTACGGAACAAAATCAGCACCATTTCTCGCCATTCGTTCACTCAAACAATTGATAACAGATCATGGACATAAATTTCCGTTAGCATCAAAAATACTTGATCGCGACTTTTATGTAGATGACGTAATTACCGGTGCTAATGATATTAAAGAAGCCCAAATATTAGTATATCAATTAATCGAATTATTAAAATTAGGTGGTTTTAATTTACGACAGTGGATATCTAATGAGCCTTCTCTTTTAAAGGATTTAAAACAATCATCAACACCACAACGTGTTTGTTTAGATACCGATGATACTAAAAAGGTTCTCGGGGTACATTGGGATCCTTATCTAGACACAATAAATTATAAGGTTAATTCTTTAAGTGAAAACAAAATGGTATCCAAACGAACAATTTTATCTGAGATATCTCAACTTTTTGATCCCATGGGTATATTAGGCCCAGTTATAATCAAAGCAAAACTTGTGATGCAAGAACTATGGAAGGCAAAATTAACCTGGGACGAATCCATCCCGCAATACATTTATACAGAATGGTCAAACATTAAAAAGCAGTTACCTTTATTAAATAATTTTTATGTTAATCGTCAGATAATCCTTAAAAACTCAGTTGATTTACAATTGCACGGGTTTTGCGATGCCAGTGAAAAGGGGTATGGCGCGTGTTTTTATGTCAGATCGACTGACAATTTTAATAACCACAAAGTTCAATTAATATGTGCTAAGTCGCGAGTTGCACCAATAAAATCAGTTTCGTTGCCCAGGCTAGAGCTTTGCGCGGCTAAATTACTAGCAAATTTATATACCAACGTGTTGCAATCATTATGTAACTTGAAATTCATAAAAACAAATTTTTATTCTGATTCCACGATTGCATTAAGTTGGATAAGAACTCCTCCTCATTTACTCAAAACTTTTGTTGCAAACAGGGTTTCTGAGATACAAGAATTAACCAACAAAAACAATTGGTACCACGTATCAACCACTGATAACACCGCTGATTATATATCGCGAGGACAGTTTCCCTCAGACTTTATAAAAAATAAATTGTGGGTTAATGGACCTATTTGGCTTTCAAAACATGAACAGTATTGGAAAATCACCAAAATATTAAACAACGAAATTCCAGAATTAAAATTAAACACCAATTNAATACCATTGGGAATGGATATTGGTGAAGACTCTAGCTGATTCATCCTTAATTTTTTGTTGGAGATTAGATAGTTTTGTTTGTAGAAGCGGAAGGTTCTCTCTTTTCAGATAGTTGAGATCGATGGGATCATCTTCAAGCTGGTTTAGAGTTCGCATTACTTGTTTACAGCAATTTTGAGGTATTTCCGGAGTAACTACCGGAACATTAACAATTTTATTTTGCTTGTTGTTCGTCGTTATTCTGAGTCCGTTATCGAAATAACACATACATTCTTCGCTAATTTTAAGCAAGGACGTCTGTTGAATGGTCGATCTCTTGATTGGTTGCCCTTTACATTTGTAAGTTATTTTTAATGGGTGTTTAGATGCTACCAGCCATGTGAAAGGATTGACTTGTTGAATGGATTCTTCTGTAGCTTTAAAAGTATAAATTTTACATTCTTGTGGAAATGATTTCTTCAGAAGTAGATTAGGTAGACAACGCACAGAGTTTCTCGCATCTTGAGGTTCCACGTTTTGAAGTAACGTGAGGTTTTCTTGACGAAGACTTTTTTCCAAACTTGGGATTTCTAGGTACCATTGATGGTCGTCAGAAATTGCCACGTAAGGATTGTCGGGTATAAGGGTGTGATAAAATGTATCGTTTGATTTTACGGGGTAGGAATATGCTTCGAATAGTTTCATTTTAATGTTCTTTACAAGTGGTATAATTAATTTGATTAAAATTCCATTTCTATAAGGGTAAATATTTGGATTTATAATTTGATAATATTTGTAAATATTTGTATTGTCAAAAGGAAACGGTAGTGCAGCACCTTCATTTGGACGAATTTGATGCAATTGTTCTTTTAATTGTTCGTGGTTTAGGACACTAGGATGCAAAATGTTAATTCTAGCAAAAGTAAGTGTTTCTATAATATTACTTACGTCTTTGTTGATTACAGATGCTACGTCATTAATAAGTGTTAATGTATTTAAAAATTGTAAAGTAATTTGGTTTTCATTTATTCTAATTGCATTTCCATTTAACGTTTCTTTAATTTTGAATATAGTTTTCTGGATAATTTTTTCATTTGAATTAACTTTAAATAAAGTGGCATTAAAATCTGCTATTACCATCTGAGTTAGATGAACTTGTTCATCCTGAAGTTTTAATATCCTTTTATTTGATGTTTGCAATTCGTTTATTAATTTATCATATTTAGCTTCATTATCAGCATCTAGCGTTCCAAACAAAGTGTGTAAGCCCGTTCCGATTATATTAAACCAGCCTCTACGTTTTCTTTTTGGATTTGGTACAATAAATTTTATTTCATTTAAATTGGTTTCTAAATTATTAAGGGTATTTTTTAAAACTGTAGCGTGTATTTTTAGGTTAACATTATTAATTTTGTTGCCTATTTCGTCTAATTCTTTTCGATAAGATTTAAGTATTTCAAAGTTTTGAAATAAAGGTGTCAAATTTTTGTAAATTAATATATCATATGAAGAATCTGAGAGAAGGAGGGACCCTTTGTCTTCGAAATAAATACCGGTGTTTGGTAGTTTTACTGTGAAGAGCTCGCAGCAGCATCTGTAAAAGATACAGATTTGTATGGTTTAATTTGTTCTACGCTGACTAATGTGAAATTGTCCTTATTATTTTTCTTATTAATTTTTACTACATTTTGTGAAATGATTTCCGTTATTATAAATGGACCTAACCATTTAGATTGACCTTGTTTGTTAATCAGTTGGTTTTTCAAAAAGACTTTATCGTTTACATGGTAATCCGGTAGTGGCTTTTTTATTTTGCTGTCATATTTTTGTTTGACTTTAATTTTAGTTTCAATTTGGTTATTAGATGCCAATTTCCTAAGCTCTTTTTGTTTTGACTGAGTTTCTGTGACATACTGTTCAATTGTCGTTTCGTTAACCATGTCGTCTTTGGGACTATTGAGGTTTCTATGTTTAAATCCGTACAATATTTCAAAAGGGGTCAATTTCGTCGCATAATGGGTTGACGTATTATACGCAAATGTTGCTGAATCTAATAATGCTTTAGGGCCTAATTTATTTTTTTCTTTTGTCGAATAAGTCGAAATTGTATCTTTAAGTGTACTGATTACTCTCTCTACCATACCGTTAGTTTTGGGATGGTAACCTATCGATTTTGTATGTTGAATTCCTAACTCAAATGTTAATTTTTCTAATAATTTATTAACAAATTCTCCGCCATGATCAGTATGTACTCGTTTAGGTAGGCCAAAAGTTGCGATGAAATTTAATAATTTACTTTTAATCGTTTCTGCAGTTTTGTCTTTGATTATATAAGTTTTGAGGAATTTAGTTAATCGATCTTGTATTACTAAAACATATTCTTTTTTTGAAGGTGAGAAATAAATTTCAGCAGTATCTAAATCGATTCTTTCAAAAGGATATATCGGGGTTTCAGTAATTGTTAAAGGAGCTTCGAAACTACGTCTAATTGTTTTATTACTTTGACATTCCAAACAAGAGTTTATATAATTAGTTACGTCATCTTTAATTTTGTGCCAGGTAAAGTATTCTTGTATTTTGTTTAGAGTTTCAGTTATTCCCTTGTGTCCAAANAATCCCAAGTAAAGTTGTTGGCAGTAAGAAATACCATTGGGAATGGATATTGGTGAAGACTCTAGCTGATTCATCCTTAATTTTTTGTTGGAGATTAGATAGTTTTGTTTGTAGAAGCGGAAGGTTCTCTCTTTTCAGATAGTTGAGATCGATGGGATCATCTTCAAGCTGGTTTAGAGTTCGCATTACTTGTTTACAGCAATTTTGAGGTATTTCCGGAGTAACTACCGGAACATTAACAATTTTATTTTGCTTGTTGTTCGTCGTTATTCTGAGTCCGTTATCGAAATAACACATACATTCTTCGCTAATTTTAAGCAAGGACGTCTGTTGAATGGTCGATCTCTTGATTGGTTGCCCTTTACATTTGTAAGTTATTTTTAATGGGTGTTTAGATGCTACCAGCCATGTGAAAGGATTGACTTGTTGAATGGATTCTTCTGTAGCTTTAAAAGTATAAATTTTACATTCTGGTGGAAATGATTTCTTCAGAAGTAGATTAGGTAGACAACGCACAGAGTTTCTCGCATCTTGAGGTTCCACGTTTTGAAGTAACGTGAGGTTTTCTTGACGAAGACTTTTTCCCAAACTTGAGATTTCTAGGTACCATTCATGGCCGTCAGAAATTGCCACGTAAGGATTGTCGGGTATAAGGGTGTGATAAAATGTATCGTTTGATTTTACGGGGTAGGAATATGCTTCGAATAGTTTAATTTTAATGTTCTTTACAAGTGGTATAATTAATTTGATTAAAATTCCATTTCTATAAAGGTAAATATTTGGATTTATAATTTGATAATATTTGTAAATATTTGTATTGTCAAAAGGAAACGGTAGTGCAGCACCTTCATTTGGACGAATTTGATGCAATTGTTCTTTTAATTGTTCGTGGTTTAGGACACTAGGATGCAAAATGTTAATTCTAGCAAAAGTAAGTGTTTCTATAATATTACTTACGTCTTTGTTGATTACAGATGCTACGTCATTAATAAGTGTTAATGTATTTAAAAATTGTAAAGTAATTTGGTTTTCATTTATTCTAATTGCATTTCCATTTAACGTTTCTTTAATTTTGAATATAGTTTTCTGGATAATTTTTTCATTTGAATTAACTTTAAATAAAGTGGCATTAAAATCTGCTATTACCATCTGAGTTAGATGAACTTGTTCATCCTGAAGTTTTAATATCCTTTTATTTGATGTTTGCAATTCGTTTATTAATTTATCATATTTAGCTTCATTATCAGCATCTAGCGTTCCAAACAAAGTGTGTAAGCCCGTTCCGATTATATTAAACCAGCCTCTACGTTTTCTTTTTGGATTTGGTACAATAAATTTTATTTCATTTAAATTGGTTTCTAAATTATTAAGGGTATTTTTTAAAACTGTAGCGTGTATTTTTAGGTTAACATTATTAATTTTGTTGCCTATTTCGTCTAATTCTTTTCGATAAGATTTAAGTATTTCAAAGTTTTGAAATAAAGGTGTCAAATTTTTGTAAATTAATATATCATATGAAGAATCTGAGAGAAGGAGGGACCCTTTGTCTTCGAAATAAATACCGGTGTTTGGTAGTTTTACTGTGAAGAGCTCGCAGCAGCATCTGTAAAAGATACAGATTTGTATGGTTTAATTTGTTCTACGCTGACTAATGTGAAATTGTCCTTATTATTTTTCTTATTAATTTTTACTACATTTTGTGAAATGATTTCCGTTATTATAAATGGACCTAACCATTTAGATTGACCTTGTTTGTTAATCAGTTGGTTTTTCAAAAAGACTTTATCGTTTACATGGTAATCTGGTAGTGGCTTTTTTATTTTGTTGTCATATTTTTGTTTGACTTTAATTTTAGTTTCAATTTGGTTATTAGATGCCAATTTCCTAAGCTCTTTTTGTTTTGACTGAGTTTCTGTAACATATTGTTCAATTGTCGTTTCGTTAACCATATCGTCTTTGGGACTATTGAGGTTTCTATGTTTAAATCCGTACAATATTTCAAAAGGGGTCAATTTCGTCGCATAATGGGTTGACGTATTATACGCAAATGTTGCTGAATCTAATAATGCTTTAGGGCCTAATTTATTTTTTTCTTTTGTCGAATAAGTCGAAATTGTATCTTTAAGTGTACTGATTACTCTCTCTACCATACCGTTAGTTTTGGGATGGTAACCTATCGATTTTGTATGTTGAATTCCTAACTCAAATGTTAATTTTTCTAATAATTTATTAACAAATTCTCCGCCATGATCAGTATGTACTCGTTTAGGTAGGCCAAAAGTTGCGATGAAATTTAATAATTTACTTTTAATCGTTTCTGCAGTTTTGTCTTTGATTATATAAGTTTTGAGGAATTTAGTTAATCGATCTTGTATTACTAAAACATATTCTTTTTTTGAAGGTGAGAAATAAATTTCGGCAGTATCTAAATCGATTCTTTCAAAAGGATATATCGGGGTTTCGGTAATTGTTAAAGGGGCTTCGAAACTACGTCTAATTGTTTTATTACTTTGACATTCCAAACAAGAGTTTATATAATTAGTTACATCATCTTTAATTTTGTGCCAGGTAAAGTATTCTTGTATTTTGTTTAGAGTTTCAGTTATTCCCTTGTGTCCAAAAGCAGGTGGATCGTGATGCATTTTGATAATATCTCGTTTTTTTGAAGGATCACCGGAATATTTGTATGTTGTAGAGATTTGAATTTCTAAATTAGGGTCAGTATTTAATTTGTCGCGCAAATAATTTATCATGCGTTCTAATTCTTTACTTGAATCCTTTTCAACAATGAATCTGATCAAATCTTCTTTCTGTATTAATGTAAGGATTACAAATAAACTTTCAAATAAATCTCTTTGATTAGTGGAGTTGTCGACTATATAAGTTAGATTTGAATTAGATATGGAGGGTTTTAACTCTAGTTTGTCTGATACTATTGAATTTTCTGTGTCGCGTAAAATGTAATGGCAATATTTTAAATTATCCATCATGATCAAGGCTTCGTAATTATGATTTCTGTCTTGGAATTGTCCTAATATCGTTTTCTCGGTTGGATAGTCTCTCTCATCACTAACGTACGAGTCGAAATCTATACCTTCTGGTAAATTTTGAATTGAATGACGGGCCATATTAATTTTAATTCGTGATAAGGCGTCAGCGTTCGAATTACATTTTCCCGGTTTATAAACAATTTCGTAGTCGTACTCTTCAAGTTTCAACCTCCAGCGTACTAATCGCGAGCCTGGGTCTTTCACTGAAAATAGCCAAGTTAAGGGGCGATGGTCACAGATGATCGTGAATTTTTTTCCGTATAGGTAAGGCCTGAAGTGTTTAACAGCCCAAACGATGGCCAATAGTTCTCGTTCTATCGTGGAATAGCGGGTTTCCGCGGGGTTTAGGGTTCGACTTGCGTATGCTATCGGTAAACTATTGTTAACAGGACCTTGACTGAGTACAGCACCAATTGCATAGGCGCTAGCATCGGTTGTTAGAATAAAATTTTCATTAAAATTGGGATATTGTAGTATTGGTGCCGAAATTAACTTTTCTTTCAATGTCTTGAAAGACACCAATTGTTCATTTTTGAATTCGAATGGGATATCTTTTTTCAATAATGCAGTTAAGGGTTTAGCTAATTTTGCGTAATTTGGAATGAACTTGCGATAATAGCCAGTTAAACCTAAAAAGGATTTGATTTCTTTGGGATTTCTTGGAACAGGGAAATCTTTGACAGCATTAATTTTGTTTGGGTTTGGTTTTATACCTTCTGTAGTGATAATATGGCCTAAAAATTCTGTCTCTTTCCGAAGAAATTCAGATTTTTCTGGTTGAATTTTGAGATTATGTTTCCGAATCCTTTTAAAAACGTTTCTTAATTTATTACAATGATCCTCAAGCGAGTTTCCAAATACTACAATATCGTCAAGATAAACAAGGCATTGTGTAGGGGTTAAACCAGTCAAAATCGTGTTCATTGCTCTTTGAAAAGTTGCCGGTGCGTTAATTAGACCAAATGGAACCCGAAGCCATTCATAATGACCGTTCGGTGTAGAAAAGGCAGTTTTTGCAATGGAGTTTTGATGAACCTCTAGTTGATGAAATCCACTGGTTAGATCCAGGGTGGTGAAATATTTAGCATGTCCGAGATTGTCTAAAATTTCTTCGATATTGGGTAAAGGGTATTTGTCCGGA